GTGATGGGACCAGTGGCCATGATCTTAGTTTTTTTGATGTTGAGCTTCAGACCATTTTTTGCACTCTCCTCTTTCACCCTCATTACAAGGTTCTTTAATTCCTCCTCACTTTCTGCCATCAGAGTGGTATCATCTGCGTATTGGAGGTTGTCGATATTTCTTCCAGCAATCTTAATTCCGTCTTGGGATTCCTCCAGTCCAGTATTCTGCATATAAGTTAAATAAGCCGGGGGACAATGTACAGTCTTGTCGTACTCCTTTCCCAATTTTGAACCAATCACTTGTTCCATATCCAGTTCTAACTGTTGCTTCGTGTCCCACATACAGGTTTCTCAGGAGACAGATAAGGTGGTCAGGCAGTCCCATTTCTTTAAGGACTTGCCATAGTTTGCTGTGGTCCACACAGTCAAAGGCTTTTGCGTAGACAATGAAGCAGAAGTAGATATTTTTCTGGAACTCTCTGGCTTTCTCCATAATCCAGCGCATGTTAGCAATTTGGTCTCTGGTTCCTCTGCCCCTTCGGAATCCAGCTTGTATTTCTGGGAGTTCTCGGTCCACATACGGCTGAAGCCTACCGTGGGGGATTTTGAGCATAACCTTGCTAGCCATGTGAAATGAGTGCAATTGTACGGTAGTTGGAGCATTCTTTGGCACTGCCTTTCTTTGGGATTGGGATATAGACTGATCTTTTCCAATCCTCTGGCCACTGCTGAGTTTTTGAAACTTGCTGGCATATTGAATGTAGCACCTTAACAACATCATCTTTTAAGATTTTAAATAGTTCCAGAAACCAAAAACAAAATAAAACCCAACATACATTAGTTTTACTATTCTAGTGAATAGTTGGCTAGGACAACCCTTTGATACCAAACATGTATCTTTGTTTATACAAATGTAATCCTTACTGTGTGTTTGCTGTTATTCCTTTAGTAGCCCACTGATTGACTATACTAAAGTGGTTTGATATTAATGTCTTTGCGAAGTTTTTTTTTACAACATCCACATGAGATTACACTTACATTGGCAACTTCCATGAGGTTAAAATGCAGACACATACATTTTGGTCTTATTCCAAGGAGCTGAATCTTTATCATTTTAGTATTCTTTCCAACAGGAAATAGAAGCAGCACTCCTAAACTCCCTCACATTCTATTTTTTTCCATCCAGACATTGTTGAACCATCCCCTGTGCTACACAAAAGTGAGGAACTCATGGCTTGCCTCTAGATGCTCTTAGACTTGGATCCAGTACCCTACTTATGTTGGCTGGGGGATCTGGGTAGCTGCAGAACCCAAAGAAAAGCTTTCCTGAGCTCTGGCCACAAGTTAACTACATACATAGAAGTATGGTGAACATGCATAGAAGTAAATAAAAGTTGCATGCAGTCATGAGGACCCAGCATGAAAGCTATTAATGCACGCCTACAGGGAGTCTTATACACACTAGACATCAGCTTATTTTATTAAGGCACAAACCAACTAGTCTTCCTGGTAAATTACTCTTGTTTTGTATTCTACTTGAAAAGGAGGATAGTAACCCTGCTGAGGCTAGTTCATCAGTTTATCTGATGAAGAACTGCAAGACTAACAAAGCAAGGATAATAATCTATTATTTCATTGTCTTGCGTTACACCAGTCTTTGTTGTGTATTGTTATTCTATCCTCTGTCCTTCAAAGGATCTCCCAACAATCTGACTCAACAATCTTCTTTTCCTTGGCCTCCAGCCTCCAGCTATTTATTCTGCTTTGTTCTTAACAGAAAGCTGTTGAACCCCTGAAGGGAAAGATCTCTCTCTCTCTCTCTCTCCCTCTCTCTCTCCTACCTGTATTTTATTATATATTTCCTGATAGATATAATAAAATCCCAAAACTAAAAGCAGAGGGGCACGGAATGCTGACCACTCCTTGCCAGATGCATGTTTATCCCTCCCTCTTTTGTATCTGTTCATCTGTGGTCCCTCCCTGATCAGATATTTTTCTAGACAAACTCATCAAGTTTGTCTTTTGTCTTAGGCTGGGTTTTTGCTCCTAGATTTTGCTCCTCATAAAACAGGACTTAATATAGTGCTTAATTTGGACTTAAAAAAAATAGTTTAAATCCCCAAGCAAATTTAGCAATCCTCTGTTACAAAGGACATTAGGTCAGTTGCCATCTCTGGACTTGACCTACCTTACAGGGCTGATGTGAGGATGAAGTAGAGAAAAGATTGGCTGTACTAAGTGCAAGTTGCTTGGTGCCCACTGAGGAAAACAACCTTGGTTATAAATAACAAGCACCCTGGTTTTTTAATTGATGTGACAATTTGAATCCAAGATAACTGTAATTCATTGAGTAGATAAATAGGGACCACCTCGGTGGGAAGGTAAACAGCGTTCTGTGTCTAAATCACACTGGTCATGTGACCACAGAAAGATTGTCTTCGGACAAAGCGCTGGCTCTATGGCTTGAAGAGCGGGATGAGCGCCGCCCCCTAGAGTCGGACACGACTGGACAAAAATTGTCAAGGGGAACCTTTACCTTTTACCTTTACACATATTTTGCATGCCAAAGATCACAGGTTCAGTTCCTGTAGTCTCCAAATAACACCAAAGCAAGCTGAAACTCTGGTCTGCTACTATCAGTCTGTATAGTGAGCCCTTCCCAACTCAGTGCCATCCAGTTGTGCTGGGTTAACAGTTCAATATCTGGCTAGACATGGAAGCTCTTATAGTCCAACATATTTAGAGGACACCATTTTGGACAAGGCTGCTTTGGGCTGGTATGTTGCTGGTTGTAAAACAGCATGTTGGTTTTGGGGTGGGAAATCAGTGTTTGGCAGTCTTTTTATTAAGATCAACTGAAATGCTTCAAAAGTGTACAGGCTTTTGCGTTCCTTGGAAATCTTCATCACTTTCGATGGCATGAAAGGGTACAGGATGGAGAAAGTGTTCACTAAGAACAAAATAGGCCAGATATGATAGCACTTTTCAAATACTTGAACGATAGTCATACAGAGGAGGGGTAGGGTCTGTTCTCAATCATTCCAGAATGCAAGACACATAATAATGGGTTCAAACTACAGGAAGCTAGATTTTGGCTAATCAGGAAAAACTTCTTAACTGTTAGAGCAGTACAACAACAGAACCAATGATCTTGGCAGCTACATAGGTTGTGAGCATACCAACCCTGAATGCATTTAAGAGAAAATTGGACAACCATCTGTCAGATCTGCTTTGACTTGGATTCCTGCATTTAGCAGAGGAATTGATGGCCTTATAGGCCCTTTCCAACTCAATTATTCTATTATTCTATGATATAGAGTCCATGCAGGCTATGGTTACTTTATTTATATTTTATTTTATTTCTTTGCCACCTTTCGCCCAACTACAGGACCAAAGGCAGGTCACAAATTATTAAGAAGCTGGATGTATTAATGTTTTTTATATAAGATCCTTATTTATTTATTTATTTATTTACTCAATTTTTACCCCACCCCGTGTTGTCAAATTACTTCTCTTTGCCACCTTTCGCCCAACTACAGGACCAAAGGCAGGTCACAAATTATTAAGAAGCTGGATGTATTAATGTTTTTGATATAAGATCCTTATTGTTGTTGTGCTATCAAATTACCTCCGGCTTATGAGTGAGTGATCTTCAAATGTCCTGCCTTAATCCATCTTGTATTTGCTCTTTCCCTTTTTGTACTGCTCTCAACTTTTTCTAGCATTATTGAGGTTTTTACACAGTGAATCCTGCCTTCTCATGATGTGCCCAGAGTAGGACAGCCTCAGTTTCCTCATTTCTGTCTCCAGAGAAATATCAGGCTTGATTTGCTCCAGGACCCACTAGTTTGTC